TCCAGGAGGAGGACCCCCTTGTAAAATAGTCCTGTATCGGGAAATTAGAATTAGACCAGGAGCTCATGGGCTCTTGAATTAATTCCTAATGGAAGGCTAATCTGGACTCGTGGCTTAGGCCTTACTTAAGCTTAACTCCTAAAGAGAATACGAGATTTCCTTTATGACCACCGTAGGTGAGATCAAAAAGAGAGATGACGATATCCCCGTCCCCATCCTATGGTATCCCCCCCCCCCCGGGGCGATAACTTGGTCGCTAACCGATCCAAGATTGAGTTCTCTCTCTCTATTCCATCTTCTACAAATAGAAGGAACAATAAACTACTATTTACCTCTTACTCCAAGTACAAATCGCTGGCAGTTGTTTTTGACATCATTGGAGCAGTTAGAGGGGAGGCAGCAATAGTAAGATCCACTGTCAGAATACTGCAAGTCGTTCACTGTCAATACATATGGCGCGTAAATCCCATCGCGATGTATGCGGTATTTTGCATCTGAGCCACCTGCCAAGAATTTTTAAACGAGGTTTACATTTGCTTTCAAGACTGTCTAAAAACTCATTTAAACGAATAAACCCTTCCTGGACAAAGCTAACGCCTTCATCAAGTACAACAGGGGGAATACAGTACAAATTTTCATTACGCCAGCGTCGATACTAGCTGACATTACAAATCATCACATCCCATCCTTGCTCTTGTATACTTGCCCAGATAATGACAAACAAAACTATCTTGTAAGCCGGTGGAGAGTCCAAAAGACGTTTAAGCGATGATATGTACAGCTGGCCCAACACTTACTTATGCAAGAGCGTATATTGTCTTCACCACTCTTCTGAAACTTCCATTCAACGTTTAATGGGAAACCTTTGGCAGGACACTGAAAAGAAACACTTTCTTCCTTGAATTTGTTCAATTCAGTATCCTCTTGTGGTCTATCAAACCATGGAGCAACTGAAATAAAGGTAAGAATATCATGTAAGACCATGAACACTTAGAACTTACAAATGAAAATTTAAACCGTTTTGTCAACCATCGGGAAAACATTTCTTAACGTTGCCACCTGATCCCCATCTTTCTTTAGAGTATTGTTTACAAAGCAAATAATAATTGTACTTGATAATGTTTAGGACCAATTCAAAGATTTATTGGCTACATTTCAAATTCTAATCCGTGGTTTTATTGTTAATGTTGTTATTGTTACTGTTGTTGTACTTTATAAGCCTTGTTGGTATTGCAGACGTACAGCCAATCACATCTCAGATTGGTCAGATCTTTTGCAGGTTAGTTCATGCGTGAAATATACAACGCACTCTGTCTCAACAAAGAAAACAAGAATTTCATCTGCAATCGTACCATTTCAACTATGGCAAAATAGTGTTATAGTGAAAACTGCCTAAGACTCATTGTATACTCACTTGTGATCATAGTACTGTCTCATACATTGTATGGTTTAATATTGCGAAGCCGAAGCTCAAGCTCACAACTGTAATTTCCTCCATCTCTGGCCGCGGCATTTTTTATAACTAGTGGCGCCAGTGTGTCTACAGGTTTGTCTGGGTTCGGGTTTCTCAAACTTTGCTGTACAACACCATTTTTTAACCATGAAATCTTTTTCAGCATAGACCACCCCGAGGCCTCAGTGATATTGCAAAAGATGGTGATACTGTCACCGTGTTGCAGCATGTTGACTTTAGTCACAGATACAACAGGAATTTCGCTTCCTAAAATGAAGCATAAGTAAGTAAGTAAGTAAGTAAAATACAATGAGAAATGCCCCAAAGGTGAAAAACCTGCTTATTTTCCTCAAATATATCTATGAATTTATATCTAAGACGGCTCGACTAGCTTTAAAACGGTGTTTACCGGCAGCATGTCTACGGAAAATGCTTTCCTTTTATAATATTTTTCCTTTCATTTTGTGTGTCTGCTGGATTGGTGCAGTGTTCGACACTGATTCACAGCTGAGCAGTTTTGTTTTTTCATATTTGATTTTTCTTGGCTTTTTTCCCCTTATTTCTTTTGTTTCGCGAGGTTTTGCGTTACTCGAATTTTTACAGATTTAAGCCAGTTAAACTTACTTCCTATGACGTTCACACTGAAACCATGCCTGCGCTCCAAGGCTGATCCAACCGCAAAAGCGTGACATTCGTACCTTCCCAATAGACCAAACGTACTATCGTGTTCTAGCGTTACATTCCGTATGTGCATCGTGACAAAGAGCTTCTTTAACTTCTTTCCATCTGTAGAAGACACTGTAGAAATGTTAGGAAAGTTAGCAGGTTACATAGTTAATTTCACACCGTCCAATAGATAGCTTCCTTGCATGTTTGTCATTGTCCTTTTTCAGAATAAGGTATACAAGAAACTTGACAGATTTCTAACAGTGTAATAGCAATACGCCATTTCTGAGTTGCTCGAAGCCTCTGTTAAGCGAGACGAAGTGCAAAGCCATTGATATGAAAATGATTTTTCATTCTCATGCAAATAAAACTCATTTTATTTTTTTTCACAAGGTTTTTTCTTAGCCTCGTTTTGGACGTGAGAGTTTATGGAACGCGGAAATAGCCAATGATATGTGTTGCCTTCATGGGCAAGGAATGCTGGGTAAAACCTAATGATTGCTCAGACAACGTGCCGCTCTTTGGTTCGCAGAAGACGGTGACGTTAGAACGAAGGCTAATTCAGATCACTGATGTAAAGCGCGCTTTCTCATCGTGTAATAGCAGCGTAATATCAAATATAAAATAGGATCTTTAGCTCCAATACTATAAAGAAACACTTTTAGGTTTTATTTTTATAAGACTTCGGCTTACCCTTGTCCACTTCCTCGGTTCGGTGTGTGAAATATATGTTGTCATTAGCAGTTATGTTTGTATAACGCGCAAAGTTGTCCTTCCTCATGAACTGTATCCTTTCAGGAGTTTTTATTCCAGCTGAATCAAAGGCTACACAGGTAACCTGGGTAGAAGTGAACTCAACAGGATAGATGTTAGCAGGAAATGGCTCAACAATCCTAAAATCGTCGGAAGCTGGTAGGAATGGAAAAAGCAAAATGAAGTTCAGCAGTTTTACTCGAGCACCCAGGAAAATGGACTTGAATTGGTTCGAATTATTGGGAGGGGAGAGTTTCAAAGTATAAATTAAATAGGAGACTCAGCCAGAGTTTGAGCTATTGTGAGGTTCGATCGAGATTATCCGAGAGTTTCAGGAATCGTTCGAGATTAGTTTATCAATGAATCTTTAGGTGTGTTAGGGCTAGTAACTTACCTCCATAAAATCCCTCCACAGAAACCGTCAAAATTCCAAGCGCAATTACTATGCACCCCACTGAAAAATCCATGTTGTCTGAGATCTTAAAGAACAAAGTACAATTCAGGTGGTTATAATGTAGGTCGGTATACTGAAAGTAGCATTTTGTTATTGCAATACCATTTTTTTACGAAACGACATCAGAAAGAAAATTTTTTACTAGCCTGGAATTTGTTCCTCGCGTGAAGCTGTAACAAATGAAAATCAATAATACGCGGGCAAGAGTATTAAAAAGTATAATTATTTCTTAAATTTACGCTTTAGGAACGTATGCTTTGTTTACTTAGGTGAATAAATACGAAGTTTAAAATGCACGTTCGACGCCTCAATGCTAAATCTAATAAATCAATCTTACTTAAATTTAATTAATCTGTATTAATACTAAAAAGTCCTTTAAGGAAGCAATGTACAGAGCCTCTTTCACTCATTCTACACGGAAACAGTGTACTACTAAGTGTACTACACAATAGAGGAAAGAGAAAAACCACTGAATAAACAGAATCTAAGTCGATCTGAGGCTGAAAACATCCTAACAGCTGCTTATAAGTGACAATGTCTCGCGTTATATTGGATAAGTTGTCACGTAAGTGGAACGCCTGTTCTGTGAATGCCTGTTTTGGTAGTCACGTACTGAACATGATAAAAGATTTGTCTACTGAAAATTAAAAATGTGGAGTTACTTTGATTAGAAACACCATGGTACACAATACAGTATTTATATAAACGAAAAGGAAAAACCACAGACGTAACAGGGTCACCACAATATCTAACCTCAATATTGAGGCTGAAAATATTCTAAAACGTGTTTGCTAGTGACGCTGTATTAGCTTTTAAATTTTAGCGAGTTAAATAATAACTATCACTGGACAAATAAGCTATCATTGGACTCTCTCTTTGTGTGAAGGAGGACACGAACTGAATATGATTAATCATCGCTGCATTGCAATCCACAAGTGTCTTATTGGAGAAACCGATTTCAGCTTTAATTTTACTAAAAGTCAAGCTGTTCATTCATATAATACAAGACGCTCTAATGATATTCGCTTACCCCTACCCAGAACAAACTGGGGTAAACAAACTTTTATTTTTCACGCCGCGAAAGACTGGAACAGCCTTCCAAATGATTTAAAAGAGTGTAATATTTTATCTATTTTTAAATCCAAGTTAAAAACTTTTTTAAAAGATCTCAGCTAATTTTAAACCTTGATGTTTTTTTTGTATAATCGATTTTAAGATTTTAAATTTTTAAATTTGTTTTACTTGTAAACATATTTTACTTTTTTCGTAATTATTAATTAATTAGTTAGATTAATGCATGAGGGCCCCACTGAAAACCGCCTTGGCGAGTTGGGCTCCCTCTATAAATATTATTATTATTATTATTATTATTATTATTATTTGTCTGCTAAAAAAATGTCAAATCAATTTGAGCTAGCCCCAAAATCGAATCGATTAAACTCTTAGAAGAACTCAAGGAGTAAAAAAAAATTCTTGTAACACTTGCGGACCGTCATTCAAAGGAAAAAAAGCCTTTCCATAGACTGGGTGTTTTGTCTTATAGAGCAGCTCTAAAAGAAGGCGCTTCTAAAAACCAGTTTTCGTGATTCTAAAAGACAGTAAGCCAATCTAAGGGAACCATATCGGATAGTAAAACGATTACCATTTCTGGGTTAATGATTAATTGCAAATTAACTACATTCATCGATTTTGAGATAAAGAATGTAAAATCAAGTAAAAAATTTCGGCTGTTTTCTGAGGCTATTAGATGCCACTGAAAGGCTTATCATTCTCAGATCATTCACTCAGACAAGTAAGGCATGGGTTGAAAGGCTAAAAAGACCCCCCACAGAGATCTCTTTTTATGACGTAGAAGAATCCAAATAAAGGGTTCCACAAAGATGCGATAAGATATATCTCACTAAAATACTTTTGGAGAATTCATTCCAAGCATCACGTGACATTCCTTGGATCATGACGTCACAAAACCTGTTTTCTCAAACGGGGCAAGGTTGTTAAACCTCAGCCTAAAAATACTTGTCATCAAATTAATAATAATAATAATAAAGTCTTTATTCATCAAGAGATAAAAATACATATCTTTTGTTGCAAGTAAGTGTAAGAAATTTAAACAGTTAAGAAGTAAGAATTAAAAAATATATACCCGTATATAGAGAATACTTCATGGAAAGTGCTGGCGTACGGTATTTACGCACGAGTTGTTGACGTATCAGAAATCGAACGAGTGAGCGCAGCGAACGAGTAAGATTTCTGATACAAAAACAACGAGTGCGTAAATACCGTACAAAGCACTTTCCACGTGGTATTGTGTTTATTATAAACATACTGAGACATTCATCATTTTGGTGGCCTTTTTATTTTAAATCTTTCAAAAATGCTAAAATTTGCCGCTACACACTTACCGTAAAATGACAACGAAAACGAAGTATCAGCTTTTTAGTAAAAACGTTTGTTAAAAACATAAATGACGGTAAGGATATGAGGTAATCCAAGAACTATAAGTAATCTTAACTGCTTGTTCTCAATGCACAATTGAAAATGAGTGAATTTAAGTAAAATGGCCGGTTTCAATATAAGCTTAAGCTCAAATGAAAGGCAAAGTAGCTCCGACAAAAAGCACAACAAAAGCTCACGTCTCGTTCTGTTTTTCCCTTTCCGCTGTTGTTTCGCTTGCTCTCTACCGTTTTCTTTATCGACAGCGAAACAAACGAAACTATTCCACTCCATTTCCAAAAAGTTTTTCACTTTTTTAGCGAGAAAAACTCTTTGAGTAAAACGTTTCTCGTTGAATGTGTGCGAAGCAGCGCTGCAAGCTGCAATAAAAGGCGGGAATTTTGGCGTGAAACTCACACACCTCTGTGGCTTCTGATTGGACGTATCATTTTTCTCACACGTGAAAAAACATCGTTCGCGATTCTGATTGGACGTATCAGTTTTTTCACGTGTGAAAACCATCGTTCGCTCCTCTGATTGGCTAGAACTGATTTGCGTACGAAAATTTACGACATAGCCTTTTGGTGAGTATTTCTCAGTATGTATATAATAAATATATATCTAGTATATTACATAGCTAATTCATATTTAAAAACTAAACGATTAATAAAAGAGTTTTTGAACCGCATAGTGTTAATCTTAGGTTTAAAACAAGTTTCTTTCCTAAGATTGTAGCTAGAGGGTTTAACACGAGGCATAAAAGCCAAACTGTCACAATGTCAATAGAGTGTTTTCACATGACGTCACGGCGGCCATATTGGTGTCCCAAACCAATCCTCTGGGAGTTGAACTTTTTTCTTATGCAAACGCTTTCTTTTGTTCCAATAAATTAGCATAGATGATGGCCACGTGAGTGAAAACACTCTATTGGCCTTAAATAAGAGTTATTAAAGTCTTTTATAATTCACGTGACCTGTTTTTCTTTTCGTAATCCTTGCTCCACTTAGGCATACATGCAGGGCTAAATCATAACATCCAGGACATGGGAAAAATACTGGTGCCTAAGAATATTTGCTGCTCCTTCATTTCCTTTCCCCCGTTTTAATTTGAACATTTTGACTGTTAACGATCATTTGTAGGTCTCGTGACTAATACTTCAACAATGAATATGTCACATATTGTTAAGGCCATCGAGCTGAAACTGTTTGCCAAGTTTCATGACGACTGATCAAAACAATCCATTTCAAATGCCACTTCGTCAAATTATGCAAATTATGAGGTGACCCTTGCCTTAACATGCCTGAGCAGTAAATTGCGTGCACGTCAAGGTAAGAGAGGGCAACCACTCATGGAGGTATCTTATATTGTTCCTAATTTTCTGACGAGCATCCTTTTCACTTTTATATGGGAGTCGTCCCGGGAATGGGAATGATAAGATCCTGAAGATCTTGAAAAGATCGATCGGGTTGACTCTTTAAAGTTATTTAATTTCGTTATTTAATTTTGAGAAGGAGTTTAAAATGTAATTTTAGAATTAAATTGTGCTACCAAGAGAGGGGCTCTCCTCTCTTCCCTTTCAGCACCTGACTGTCTGAGAGAGTACACTGCTAGCGCAAGTGAAGTTCTTAGGAAATCTCACTTTTGATACTATGAAAGGGAAAAGAACTGAAGCAAACCCATATTTCGCATGCGGTAACAGAGTGATAATCATTATTTTTAAGTAGCATTGACTTCTTCTAAAATCTTCCCCATCCTGTCATTCGGTAATAATAGAAACTAAAAAATAACAAAAAACATAATAAAAAATTAGAAAACTTACTTTGGTTGACGATTGCCTCAAAAGTTAGCAAGTTATACAGCGGTAAGACTTCGGTTAATAAAAATCTTTTACTTCTTGTTACGAGCTGTCTTAATTTATAACACAACGATACGTGCCAATGGCACACAAATCGGGGGCCGAGTTACCCAACACATCTACGATAATTCCTGTATCAGCGCGAAACGGCCACAAATCCCTTGCTTAAAGGTTCTTAAAATCACGTTCAGCTCTTGAGATTAAGGTCGTGGGGCACATCCCCCACGAATAAACTGATAAGGAATAATTTTGCTTGAGGTGTATCATTAATAAAGATTATTTTGGTCGTTTTGGCCAAAAAAAACTTGCCATCGTTTAATTTAATGCATTCTATGTGTCCGTAAAAGTTCGCTTCTTTGTTGAAACAGTGAGCTCTATGATAGTCCTTTTTTTTATAGAAGCGTGGAGATTGAGAGGAAAGGGCTAT